AACATCGACCAGACTACACAGCGCAACAACCCAGAAGACAGAAATCTTCATACTCTGATGACGGAGGCAGTATGACCTCTGAAACGTTGGTTAACATCGACCAGACTACACAGCGCAATAACCCAGAAGACGGATATCTTCATACTCACCGCTGTGAGAACCTCAAGTCTTACATTGTTTATTTATATTTGTAAAAGTGTGTGCTAGGTACGCTAACATCTGGAGCCAGACAGTATTGCACAGATGTGATGAAACCTGGACTGGATAATCTGCATTGAATAATAAAATATTCCAAGTGCAATGAACCAAAACTCTGCATTGTGATAAAGATCAAATCTGCAGTACTGCATGCATTACCTTTTCATCACAGAGGGCACTGAAAATTCTTTTAATTCAGGTTTTCTTGATTTTACGAAACTGCAATCTTCACAACATTGTCTGATGTAATTTTCATTGTTTTTGGAATTTTGTTCTTAGTGACTACTGGTACAACGTCTTTAACAGTGCAATAAAACTAGCCATCAGTATCACCATCTTTACAGACACGAACACATTCTTTCCGGCTTACCGTCTTTTTCAGCCACGTACAAGTTAATCAGATTGAAAATAAATTTGACTGCATTTCATTTCCTTCTTCATTAGAGCTCGGGTAGCTCAGTCATTATAGTGACTGGCTATGGACTGGATGACCGGGGTTTAACCCCTGATGGAGGCAGAGGATTTTTCCTCTAGCCTCTGGAACCAAAAAATTTATTTTGGGGATCGTTGTTCTAAACTCTGCATCACTCATGGTATTTTATGACTCTCTTTTGTTGTTCACAGAAGCAGATCGTCTTTGCGTGCTGATGACCAGTTATTGCGTTACACTGTCTGTTGTTTTTATATCAAATTCTGAAATCTCACTTCAGAAGATACTTGTAGATGAACTGAAATTCGTAGAGTTCCCCAGCATAGGGTGCCTCTTCCACAAGGGTAACTCATTTCTGGAGCTTTCTGGTATCATGCTACAGGCAGAGACTACGGCGCACCTCAAATACAGCCTCGCAGTTTGTGCAAGGTAACGGTAATGTCGCGTGTAGAATTGGTTCTGAATGTTGTAACGTCGAGGATGTTGACTCAACT